GTGGTCGGAGAGATTGGCAGACGTATTAAGTACCATTTAAATATGTATGTATGCAGGACAATATGTATTTCGAGAGATATTTGACACGGTTTGTTACTTTGAATAAATCGCTTTGAAAAGTTTTTCTGTCCGTAGGTTGACCAGCGCATTTTAACCTGAATGTGGGCACCGGACACTATACAAGACTTCAGGGAAATAATTAAGTCTTAAATTTTTTGGCTCATCCTTTGTGAACAGTTCTCATATTTCCAATGGAATGGAATGGAATTGTGGCTGGCCGGAAAACCAAAAACAAATTTTTCCAAGCACTCTGACCGTATTGCCCATTATACTTATGGCCAAGAGACAGGATTTAGAGGAAGGGAATATATGGGTGGGAATAGAAACTCATTGCTCCTCTGCAAATTTACCAGACTCCTTTATGAATTTTAGCAGTTTTTTGAGGGAAGGAGCATATACCTCGTCCATCCTCAGTACATCCGAGCCAAAAATGTAACTTCTGAGTCTGGCGAAGGCCGGACAGTGGCAGAGAAAATGTTGTGTACTATCCTCGTGTTCCAAACACTATCCACTGTGAATGGATCGCCGATGATGCCCATGGTGACCATATATCGTCCCCATTGATTGTGACCCGTAATTAGTCATATCAGGGCTCGTATCGTTCTTTGTCTGATAAGGAATTTTGATCCAATTGGGGCGCTCCAGAGAACCGAAGTTCGCCAATTCATAAGCCAGTTGGTTACCTTAAACGCCGTAGTGCCCTGGCACTTACCGTACTTCAACTCATTCCATATTGTAACGGATTTCAGACCCACCTTACATTCCTGCACTATCTTTGAAGAGGTTCGAGCGGTTTCCAGGGCCTTTAGAGCAGCTTGACTCTCACTGCAGCTCCTGATTTTATTTCCGCGCCACCTTTCGCCAATTATCTAATCTGCCACTAAGAAAACTTTTCAATAACGCCCTATCTCTATAGAAAATATGTTCAGATAGGGAGTTTTTGAATCGGAGCCGAGATGGGGCATTTTTGAACCGAAATCGGAAGTAGGGCATTCTTGAAAAGTTTTATGAGATAGGGCGGTTTCGAAGTGGCTGCTGAGAAAGGTCGAACTTCCACTCAGCCGTCGATATGCAGTGTATCCGTACTCTGTGTTTTTCTGGGAACTACCATTATAATTGACAAGTAGGGAATAAAGTATCAAGCACTCGAGCAAAGGAGGAAGTATACTGCTCTGAGGATTTCTCTAATGTACTCCACACTTCCCTTTGCGGTAGCAGTGAACGCACCCAATTTACCAAGCTCCGTCTAGGCTCCCAAGCTCTACCCTCTTAGGAAGCTACTAAACAGCAACACTTCAATAACTGAAATTTGTTTTTTTTTCAATATCTAAACCAAAATTTCAACATTTTACCAACTCATATCTTTAAAATCTTTGTAGTACCTTAACCCAACATCCTCCTCGACTCACCTTCACAAAGCGCATTATCCGCCGCACATCATCCGCTTTGAAACGCACAAAATCGTGCAATTGCACAATTGGAGCCAACGCTTGCATTAACAGAATGCGTTCATTGTAATCGGGGTGAATAGAACACAAAACTAGGAATGCGTTTACCGCCTAAAAGCAGCCCAATGAAGGCACAAAACAAGGAAGACACAATACAGACAATGGCGTAAGAAGCATTAACGACACAATATTTACATTTTCTCCCACCACCGACCACAACAACACATGTGTACAGCAACGAAAGCACAGCAAAAGCATAACAAAAGCAAGTGCAAAAACAAAAGATAAAGCCGAGAACAAAAACAATTGCAATGTAGATAACAACAGCGCCTAAGCGTGACAAAAACAACAGCACTTTAACACACATCGACCGGTTTCCCTGTTCGTCCGTCTGTCCGTCCAACACCATTGACAACGGTAGCTAAGCATACGGACGGTACTGCACCTGGGAGTGTCCAATTAGCAGCAACTGCTGGAACGAACTCTCATTTCCAATGTGGTCCATAATGGCCGGCAGATCGTAGGCGCCCATTTCATGGAAGCTGAAGCTCCAATAGTCCGAGCTGTCGGCGCTGAATTGCGTGTGACTGCGCGCATATGCTGAGCCGCGTAAATTCGCCAGCCAAACATCGTAGTTGCGGTCGGCGAGCAGAAAAGCTGAAAGCAGCACCCAGTTAGGCGAGGTAAGGCAGGAGAAGAAACAAAACATTAGAGCTCCGGCATGTGGGTACGTTGGTGTGTGTGTGTGCGTATGTATGGTGTACACAAATGGGTCAGTGTAGGTGACAAAAGCAGCTTAGTTGAATAGAAACTACACTCCGTTCATACCTAAGCTCTTGCCCGGTCCGAGCAGCACCCAGGCGAGTGATGAAGTTAGCAGCCCGTGTACCAGCAAGACGGGCTGTTTGCCTAATTTGGGTATGCGATGCAAAAGCAGCTGATAACCGTCGGTTGTGGTGACATTGTGCACTTCCACGGCGTACTTGTGCTTCTCCAGCCAATCAGTCTATGTATGTACGAGTACATATGCAGGGTGTTTTAGCGAATGTCATCAATTGTAGGCATCTAATCGAATTGTTATCTACTTACCGTTGTCCAGTGTGAACGCCGCTCGATTTCCTTGTCGTACTTCTCTGCTGCTTTACTGTCACTTTTGCCGAAAATTGGTGGCCACAACAATGGTTTGCCCACTTCCATAGGCAGGTGCGTTGCAGAGGCTGCTGTAAGGCTGCTCGGTGTTTTAATTGGGGGCATACAATCCCACGGATATCTAACGTGTACCGTTAGTGTTAGTATTACTAGTTGGATTATTGCTTTGGAAAAATTATGATATCGCATTGAACGCTCTTGCTTGTGGTGGCTCCAAAAAAATGATTTAACGAATTTCAGTATCTTAATTCTCTTATGGAGGAGTTTTGTAGCTGTACTAACTATTTTACTCTACGTGTGGCTGTGTATGGCAGTGTTTGTCTGCGTAGTTAATCAATGTTTTGTTTTATATTTATTTTGTCGTAATCGATGAACCGTGAATTTATGATGAACATATGTATGTATTTATATCGAAGCTCAAAGTTAACAGTGATGAATTTTGTAGTAGCATTGCGCACGTACGTATATGGCCAATAAATTTTTGTTATATATAATTATTTGAGAACTTAATATTATATCGAGTCTTCAACACTGGTTCCGGCCATAATATGAGGATTCAATGGTCTTTCGTATTGGCATATTATACAGCCTAGCACCTTCGTTCTTAAAAGATACAAACTGTGAGACCTTGTTGTCGTAAATTCCGCAAATAAATCTTGAAACCCTGTCCCCATTTTTCTTTCTTCCAATAATTTTTCCCGCTTATTACAATGACCGTAAAGGCTGAATTCCATTCCAAATGGGTACCCGAAGAACTAGTAATGTAACTGGAATATGGGAAGCGATTAGTCCTTCTTCTTCTACTGCTTGTTGCCCATTTTCTGTGTAATCCAGAACCAGGCAAGATCTGCTTAGAAGCAGCGAGCCACGAAGCCAGAAACATAGATGATCATCGCCTGTTTTCAGCCGTATTTTAAAATTTTTGTGACTTAACTGAGCTTAAGCCTTTGGTGGAAAGCGGTGAGAAACTGCAAAGTGTGCAAGGCAAAGTGGTTGCCTCGCTGGGTTGAGGGGTATGGACTATATCTAAATTTACTTGCCACTCTAGGCACAGGAAATCTAAGTGGTGCATTTCTGCCCAGACTGACAGCACCACACCACCCATATGATAATCAGAGAAAACTGGGTGGGCCCTGTTATTTCATCGAAGGTGGATGGGAAACTGTGATAAGGTATCATCTGTGAGAAACCTGCCTTTAACCTCTAATTTAGGCTAGTGTATCAGGTTTCCGAAGGAAGCAGTCGACCTGGAAAAAAGTTTGTGGTATCTTATTTTCTTTTTCATGATCCTTATATTTGTTTGATTCGCTCAAGGTACTTGTTCTGTTATTTCGAAGTGGCGAAGAAAACCAAAGCCTTCATCAAGCTTCTATAAATTCCTGAAAGATATCTCCACCGCAAATTTATCTAAAATTTCGGTTATAGAACGTCGCATTTCTTCACTTGTATTTGACACAATATCTGTTAATCAATATTTGGCCCGGACGCATTTTTAATTTCCTTTGTCTCCTATAACAAGATATGGGTTTTCACAAAAAGTTTACTTAGCAACTTTTCATTCTAAGCTAGGGGATATGTAGGTTTGGAGTAAAAATGAAATTGTCCTAAATATGAAAAAAAACAATATTTAAAAACTGAAATTATAGGTAATTATATAATGTTGTATTTCTATATCAGGACACGCACATCGTTGCTTTAAATTTTAGACAGAAAGGAAATGTTCTTTCCCATGCAGCACTTTCCTTTGAATATGGTATCAGAACGGGTGACGGAGTATCTCCCATACTTAACAAAAATTTAACAATAAATTACCACATTTGACAAAGAAAGTAACAAGTACCGAATTTGATAAAAAAAAACTACCTACTCTAACTGCAACGTTGCTTCAAAAGTGCTTTTCAACTATGACTTTGCTGAATAATCAATTCGATCTTCGCGATCGCATTTCTTTGCTGGGTTAACTTATCAGTTGGTCGTTTCACTAAAGTGTGCATACTTTTAGGCATAAGCATGGAATGGATTGTGTGTAAATGTTATACATATTTATGTTTGTACATATGTATATGTATGTATGTATATACGTATGTATGTTTTTAATAGTGTTGGGAAATATCGAGTACTTTTGAGGATCAAGGTTTTTTGGTATCGATACTTTTAAGGATCGGTTATTTTTCAGAGTACTGAGTACTTTCTTTAAGTATATACATGTTGGTAACATTTCAATACTTAGTGTAGAAATCTCACAAGTTGGCAGTACTTTATTCAAATTGATGTATGAATCCCAAATTGCGTCAAAGGAAATTATTGAAACTGCAAATTGAGTACAATCATTTCTGAATACCGTTAAATGTACATAAAACTCAGTTCTTTTTAAGTCTATTCGANAGTTCTGCGTACTTTGCAGTTCCTTTTATAAGTACTGAGTACTTTCGAGTTCTTTTGCGAGTACTCAGTATGGATACTTTTAAAAATCGGTTGCTATCGATCCTTTTTGAGAATCGAGTTCTGAGTACTTTTGGTATCGATAGTATTGCCCAACACTAGTTTTTACTATAGGAAATATTAAACCACAGCTTTGTTTACCGAAAATGCGCAGCAGATATGAATAAAATGAAGCTGGCACTCAAATATTAATTGTGTACAAAATCCAAAGGGTTCTATTAAAATTGGATACTGGCGGAATTACACGTCCATTTTTTTTACAGAAATATGCATATTATTTCCCATGTTTTTATCTGTATGGTAGACACTCATTTTTTTATTAAAATCGGAGCCTCAGTTTTTTTTTGCATTTCCAGATTTTACTTACTACCGCCTTCTCTGTTGCA